TCTGTGCCTGGTTGTGGGGCTGCAGGACAGCATCACAGTTGACTTGTCTAAAAACCTTGCTGAACTTGGCTCGGCGAGGGGCAGTGGCGCCTCTTTTGGTCCTTTCTGCCGGCAGAAAGCAATCTGAAGCAATAAATAGGTCACTCCAACACCAGCGAGCTTGCAGACTGTGCACGCTGTCCAGCGCCGTGAAAACCTTGTCTCTGCAACAGCATGTTGGACAGAATTGCGTCACAGAGCCGTTTCTTTTGCACACAGCGCGTTAGCACTGAATTTCACTGTGCTGCAAGTCTGACAATCCTGATCGGTGTTGATCAAATGCCTTGCAACCATAAGTGGCCAGCAAGCCGGGCACCAAGACGCGTGATGTGCGGCAACCCATGCTTTCATCGAGCAGAGCGGACTTGGCCCTGGCATCCACCTTCTTTGTCTGGGCACCGCAGCTAGCCGCGCAGGACGAGGTCCGCATGAGACAAAAAAAGCAAGCCGGACGCGACCTCTCCAGTAGTTGAATTTTTAACTCATAAGTGGAGTCAGCCGCGCGCGTGGCGCCCTAAAAACTGTGTTTCTTACTTTCTTTTGCAAAGAACGACACAGCCAGCCACCTGAGGGGTGCCGTCTAATGAAAGACGCTTGGCTGGGTTTGATCCTGGGTTTTAAACAAGGGCACTCTGCCACCTGAGAGACATAGCTTGCCAAACACTGTACAAGTGGTGTCCGCCAAACCAACACTTAAATTGGAAAAAACGAACAGCTTGGTGCATGCGGTTGGCACCTTCTGTGGAGAACCCGCGGTGTTTAAGAGTCGCTCACCAACGTGATAGCACGCCGAGGCAAGCCCTCTGAGGCACCCGCCCAGCTGATCGAAGCACGACCGCGACCTAAACTCACCAGAGCAGGCAAAGGTCCCTAAGGTCCGCGGCTGCAAAGAAGGTGGCACATGTTTGCATCACCAAGCTGTCGTTTTCAAAAATAACGCAAGCCAAAGAGGCGGACGGGCCACCCGGGCCACGCACTGCCACTGTCAATGGAGCTAGTAACTGGCTGGTATTCGTCGAGCCATCGCCAATGGTTCCTCAACGTCACTGTCTGCCAAGTGCTCTCTGTCAGGTAGCCGGACTCGACGCCGTCCACCTCGCAAGCGGACCGAGGGAGGGCTGAAACCTCAACTAAGCCCCGCGCAGCGGCTTACATTTGCACGGAGCGAGCAAAAAGGAGCTAAATAGCTCACTGTCGCAAAAATTGCCCGTCAGGTAAGCCTGGAGGACATACTATCGGACCCATTGGGGGATGCGCAGCGTTGCAGGACTTTGAGCAGCTATCCAGAGTTGACCGGTTCGAAAGTCTTGGCCATGTCTAAGCAGCACGAAGGCTCCGAGACAAAATGCAATCCTGAATCATCATAAAGTTCGCCGGCGCTTCCTTGAGCTGGCTGACAAGAGCTTGCGACTGATGTTGGCAGGAGCAATTGCCGACATCATTGAGGAAAAGAGCAGAATCGACAATACGAGTCTTGGTATCAAGTCCCTGCGTAGGAGGAGGGGCAAGTCCAAGAACGATATCGAGGAAGTGCGAATGCTGCAACGGGCAGACCTGGAACGGCGGACCCACGTTCAATTTGCTCCCGTGGCGGGCTCTCACCGCCACCTTCCAAAACCTGGACGACACCATCCTCATCGAATCGGACTCCTATGCCCACAGCGAGACCTACACCCAGGTGGAAACCAGCCGCGATCACGGCGGCCATCGACGCACTCAACCTGTCCCAGTACAGGACGGACAGGTGCTGGTGCTCATCGCCGGGAGATCCGCTACATTGAGCGCGGTTCTTACCGTTCCAAGCTTTACAAGATTGTTTCGTACCCAATCTTGCAGTTGACACAGCCGAACGTCTACATGCTTCAGACGTCCAACTCCTCTCCGTTGACTCCACTGTCGTGCAGATGATGAGTCACACCGTATCTCCACGCGTGCAGGCGTGTTTACTAGGAACTCAAATAGCCTTCCGACTAGGATAGCTTCTCCGCAAGTTCCACTTAGTGCATACAACTCTGCTTCACAGCTTGATGATGATGCGGCTTTCTGGGTCCTCGAAAATGATAACACTTGTACTCCATTTAGTACAATGATTCCTGATGATGTACTCTTCCTTCGAGCTCTTTCAGGTGTCTTCAAGCTTGCCCAATCACTGTCCGAATACGCTTCCACGACATGTCCTGAGTCCTTGCTGATTCTTTATCCTCTTGGCCATTCAGCTTCGTAATCAACCGGCTTCGTGTGCCCGAAGGTCATTTCTACTGTATCACTTGTCTCAAGTTGAGTATGATGAAGAAGGAAACCTGGAGTATACTGGAGAGAAAGAGTACGAAAAGCACGAACAGGAGAAGAGGTTGAAGGAGTATGTCGGAAGTGGAAAAATCAAGAACCTCATAAGGGCAATACAGGTTTTTCATTTGATGAAGCCGTCTACTGCAGCAGAGCTCAAGGAGGACGTAGCGAACGCCCGAGCGGATACCAGCGGAACCTTTGGAAAAGGTACGGAAGCCATGGATGGAAACTTCACGAAGTTTGAAGTCTGTATGATCGTATGTGTACTGCTGTTAGCAGCCCCGTATGCCATCACACTGTGGAAGAAACTGAAGCGTACAGTGGATCTAATCAAAGGAGTTGGCAAAGTGAAGATTTCGACAGGGTCGAAGGCGAGAGTATTCCATAAGCCGACGTGTTGGCATGTGCAGGGAGATCATGTACGTTCTGGTCAATGGATCTGGAAGTACGAGGAACAAGCGTTGGCAGAAGGATTTCGCCATTGCTGGATATGCTATCCGGAAACGCGTCCAGAAGGAAGTCAGCGGAAGAGACGTGGACGTGTAGAACCACCAGTCCCGGATGATAGCGATGACAACTGGGAAGTTATGGAGTATACCGTGGAATCCACTGGAGGATGTATGAAGAAATGTCATTGGTGCGGAATAAGGAAGTGCACGCGCGAGAAAAAGGATCACCAGCGATGCGCCTGTACACCGTGTATTACTGAGTATGCGACTACACAATGGCGACAGAGTTACGACCGCACGAGAGAAGTGGAAGAATCCACTGGAAAAGAATCGGACGAACCTCGTGGATCAGGAGAGTCAATGCACAAGTGGAATACCGGAGTGCAGCGAAGTGGCACTGGAAAAGGAACGCTGAGGAGACGTGGAAGAGCAGCAATGGGGACACCGGAGATTGTACACACAGATGGAGTCCGTATGCCCATCATAAGTGAAGAAGACTACCGACGTGGTGGAAGAATCACCTCTGGAAGAACCACGGAGGATTCAGAGATGATCGAGCTTCGCGGAAAGATGGTAACCATGGAAGAAATGGGAAACATGGTAATGCCAGAAGAGCGCCAGGAATCCTACGAAGCGTACTGCGAACGTGCCAAGGAAGAAGAAGAAAACAAGGAACAGGAAGTGGATCCCGGTACGCCAGATAGTACGGAAATGCGTACGTTGACCGGAAGTCAGTAAGCCCTACATCGTGATCGAGTATGAGACCAAGCAGTGAGTGTAGGCAAGACAGAAAAAGTTTCACCTCGGAACAGCGGAAGCGCAAAAGAAGGAAGAGCGCTGACGCAGTTTGTGGAAGTTGTTTCACTAGGACGAAGTACTTGTTACTGTACGAATGTCAGAATATGGACGGTCTGACACACCTCCTTAATTGGGGGACGGTAAAAAGGTGGGTTGCACGGAGTGTTTAACCCAGGACTTGCAAAGGCAAAGCCTATGCAGTCAGGGCGGAGGTTTGCCCGACCGCGGACCGTTACGCGAGTACAGCACAAGGACTTCGAGGCAGGGTGTTAAGATTTGTACATAGAACGCCCACACCTTTGGTGAGCCTAGGCTACGGCATATGAAATGTATAGAATGACTATGCAGCGCCTTTGGCTTAAGCAGGAAAAGCGTGAACGCTCAGGGTCTTACAGAGTGGAGGGCTGGAACACCCTCCCCAGAGAGAGGGAAGAGACTTGAAGGAGGGCCTTCTTCGACACGAAAGGAGACGCCCACACGAAATCGATTTGGGGAGCTTAAAAGCGGAGAAAATAGAAGCGAAACATGAAAATTCAGAGACACACAAAGGCCGCATAAAATCGTTCAGCAGCGGGGCCCGCTCTTAAAAGCTCAATGGGGGGGCTGCGCCCGCCCCCGCGACTTTGAAGCCGCCTAAACCGTAAACCTTCAACTCCAAACCCAGACCGTGCAAAGCGAAAAATTAGCAAAAGGAACGTGAACAGACGCCTTCTTCAACACAAAAGCAGATGCCACGTCAAGCAACGCTTCAACTGCGACTAGCAAAATCGGAGACAACCATCAAGGAATCAGGTTGATGTCAAGCCTAGTCAAAGTAAAGCTGCAACAGGTTTCCAGATCTTCCGAGCATTTTACGGTGCAGAGCAAGGCATGAAGTTCCAACCAACCAAATGGACCAACTGTTTCTGCCAAGTGGTCTCAGCGTGAATGGCTGGATGGCCAGTCCGCTCCATTAGCACACAGATTCGGTACCATTGTTTTGTGGCAGGTGCGTGAACATGTCTGGATCAAACTCATCCGCATGAACCACATTCGGCCTTTGGAACTCTTTGCAGTTACCAAGGTCTTCTAAACCTGCATCATTGAGAGTTGCGAACACATGTGTTTGCAAAGGAAAGTCAACTCAAATTGCACAAGATTCATTATTTTCGGTTTTTTGATTTCGTGAAATTGCACAGACTGAGCAGCGCACATTTGTGGATTCTTTCCGAAACTCGTCCACGTAGTCGCAATCGTGGGTGCTTGCTGTCTTCTGTCCGACTGTTTCGTGGAAGTAGCTGCCGAGCAAAACGAAAGAGTGGTTCATTCAGATCGCAGTGCTTGTCGTTACGTACACCGTTGCATTTTGCGCTGCATGATGTGAATCGAAAGAACCTTTACACGATAGTGGTGGTGAACCAAAGCTGTTGCACTTCTCGTTTCGCCATGGCGGACATTTACTTGTCGATGAGCCCACAAACTTCCGAGGCAAGTTGGAATGCACATGCTTTCGTTCTGTGGTATTCGCGATGTCTCAGCTGGGAAGACACTTTCTAATTTGTGGCATCACTGCATTTGACATCTTGTGGTTTGGGCAGCAACAAAAGTTTTGAAGGTGTTTCACCCAGAGCCGTGTCAAGCCCAGCAGCCTAGCATCTCATTGAACATGTGACCACATGGATGATGCTCAGTTCCACGGCCAGACTTCCTTCTGCGCAACAGAACTACATACTACGTTTGGCAACATTCATTACATGGCAGAAGTGATATAACTGATGTCTTTCAGGCCGCGCAGAAGCTGTCCGAAATTGCTGCCGAACTGACAGCTTCCAAGATGAATATGTTGTGACACGTCTTGATGTCAGAATGAAGTTGTCCTAGTTTGCTGTTCGTATTGTGCAGAAAGGTTTCCACTGCGCACAGCGAAATTTGGGCGGAGCAGGTGCGAGCTGGTGTTGAGACTCGTGTTGATGTAAAGGAGGTTTGGGAAAATGGTATGGTTTTTAATCGAGATGTGACTTGGAAGGTTCAAAGTGCCCTATGTGCCGCGGAGGCCACCGACTGTTGTCATCGCCCGATCATGCATACGAACGTGCAGCAGCATTTCCAGGATGTTGTTTGCTGAGGAAGCTTGCAATGTAGTGACGTTACTGTGCTGGGATATATGTTGTGAATGTTGAGATGTTGAATGCCAGTGATAGTGCTTGCGTGCGTTTCTATAGTACTATAGACTGTTTGCAGGCTCTGTGCATAGACCTCTCGCGCGATGACATCGAGACAGGTACGCCAGCATTGAAGTGGCTGTAGATTCAGCGAAATCATCCATCTACAACCACGTTTGTGGTCGGTGCAATCTTGCATTTGGGAACGTGTCAGGCTCGTTCCAGAAAGTTTCGTCGAGGCCGATGACGATGGTGCTGCAGGTTTCAACAGTGCAACGTGAAGCGATGCCCCAGCTTGCATCCAAATGTTGTCGCACTTGTGTCGGTTTGCCTCGGCCTGTCGGTGGTTCGGCGGCATCCGCTCCTGTCCGAGGGTGATGCATCATGTCATCCGTGGGCAGGTGCTCGGCCATAGGCAGTCCACCAGATGATGGTCTTCTGGACTGGTTTGGCTTAAGTGTTCGTAGTTGCGGCCATCACCAGGTGCTTGCCTTCTTAAAATTTAATGCGATACTCGTCGCAATGTTAGTCATGACATGCATATCAAGACACACCTCGCAGATGCCAATGCTGGTTGTCTTGCATTGTGGCGAAGAGCAACTCACGGAGAGCGCTTGGACATTTAGATGCTGTCTTTGCTTGCCAGGAGCTCGAGCGACTGCAGGTGATTGAGACGATCGACACTCTGCTGCGAGGTTTGCCGGGTGCTCGGCTGGACATGCAAATCGATTTGCGCCCTATTCCTTTTGGTATATGATCCGGGTGGATGCCTCCGTTTTCTTTCGCTGGATTTGCAGCGCGAGTGACAGTCCACTTCATCACGAGAATACATGATGCAGAGGCATGCAACTAGCCAGAGGCAAGCTGGTGCTGCCGCTTCTTTCGCTCGCCAGAATGCCCTTGTCGGCTCGGTGATTGTTGGCATGTTGTGGTGGGAAGAGCCTTTAATTGCTTGTGCTTAGACGAAGGCGTGAGCTCGAGCGACGAACTGCGGGCTCCCAATGGCTTGAAGGAACCTGTCGACGGGAGTGTTGCCATGATGTGCGGGATATGCAAGGGACAAAACACACCTTCGGTGTCTTCTCTGCCTTTCAGCTGCGCGTTAGCGATGTCGTGCACAGCAACAGGAGCTGAACTCGAGGAGAACAACGGCTGGGCGAGCAGTGCGCAGGCACGATATGGCAGGTTCAGGCAAGTTCGAGATACGAAATTTGCACAAGATCGTCAAATTCACAACTTCGAGTTGACGTTGTACACTGGCTGGACCTCCAGGCTACTAAGTCACAGTGACGAGTGGCTCAGCGAAATGTCAACATCGCCGTGATTGTGCGGTAACAAACGTTGAAGACCGCCATATTCCGGACCATGTTTGCATTGTCTCGTCCGCATCGTCCTTGCTGCAGCTAGTCGTGCCAGTTCAGCCCATCTTCTTCCGAAAGTGTTGTGACACAACTACTGCAGCACTTTGGGCATATCTGCAGGCTGACCTGCTTGCGCTGCACAACATCTTCCAGTGGGGGGCCTAGTTCTGCACCACCTGGAGGCCGCGCTGTTAAGGGCCTCTGACTGGAGGTAGTTGTAACATGTTTCCACAGGTTTGCATGACAAAGCAGTCTTCAGTTGCCCCTGAGAATCCTACCTTCATGACATGTTCGCCTAGGCAACCTGGCTGCTGCCTCAGCGGCACAGCCTGCGATGCTGTGCGAGCAGCATTGAAGGCACATGATGACATAGTGGAGAAAGGTTGAAGGTCAGTGGAATGTTGCATGTTCTTGCAGAAGACTTTTTGGTGGCAAGGTGCGAGAAGTTTTGAATGATTAGGATGCCGGGCAGGCAGTCGCACGACGCCTCTCTGAAGCTCTGGCAGCTTCGCCGCGTTTCGTCACTTGCAAGCTGGTCGACAAAAGCAGCGCCTAGAGTGATTGCTGATCATGCCGAGTGTCTCTAGCAGGTGTGAGATCTCCTTGCTCATTCTCTTGCATTTGAGTTAGCTGCTTTGCCGCAAGGCTGTCGCGAGCGTGTCCGCACCCGCGTAATGGCTCGAACTTGCGCAGCATGCATCTGTGAATTCGCCAGAAGGCTGTAGCTCTTGTGGAGGCTCGCACAGGGAAACCTAGACTAGACGAGTGTCAGAGCACATCTCCACTAGCTTTAACCAACCCGAACCTGCTGGACGTGTTTTTACACGCAATGGTGTGAAGCACTTTGCATCGTGAGCCCTTGCAGAAACTTGTCGAAAGACCACGCTGGTGAGGCAACGTTAAGGACGGCATTCCACCGCAAGTTTCTCTAATCAGGGTGGAGATTCCGCAGGATGGTCTGACTCAGCAGCGCCATGCACGCCTGGGCAGTCAACGATGGCTTGTGCGGGTTACCTGCTCGGAACGATCACATCAGTTGCACGGCTAAAGTGAAGTAAACGCAAGCGAGCTGGGCTCATGCCAGGCATGCATCTGCAAGCAGGCCGGTGGACTACGGCACGTGCCAGTGCGAAGCATCAGCGACAGCACTTTTTCAGCTGGTGTTTGAGGCCCTGGAACGAGGGAGAGCGGCCGGTGCTGTTCCTAGTTTCGACCAGCGAAAGACCGCAGATTGAGTTTAATGTCGCCAACCTCAAACAGGACGCGGAGGCGTCAGCTTCAGCCTGCACGACATGTAACACTCATTCATGCCTGAAAGTGGTGAAGGTGAATCAATCGCACACATTCCGTTTGAGATGAATTCTGTACGGCAAAGCAGCAACTTATAGTAACTTCACGTCTTGTCAACCGCTCGCCGTTGTACCAAACATGGCTTGAGAACGCGGAACGGTGAAATCCATACAGATCACAGATCAGTGTCATTCCTGCTATTGCACGAGCATGGGGCGGTCACAGCCGCATGCCTACTGCAGCGGCTGCCGGCTTATCCTACCGGGAAGGCGCCGTCTGCAACATGACAGGGAAGCACAGAAGCAGAGAGGGGAAAGTTGCAGCAGTTGTGCTTTTGCCCCGTCACAGCTCTTTCACTGGAGCTGCTCTTCGGGCAGCCAGATGCTTAGCAAACAGAGCGATCTGAGTTTTCTGCGATTAGCGTTTGGGATTTTTTGAGGTCAGTGATCTACAGCGGCTCTGCAAGCGGTGTGTGGGAGACCAAGTCACCACACCTCACCAAGCGTCCTTCTTCTGCAAGCTCATTTGATATCCAGTACCGTGCGAGTGCCCGACAACCTCAACATGGGAGCAGCCGTATGCAACTTGCACATTGTCAGCTGAACAACGTCCCTGTTCCGGCCATGCGTGTGCCTTTGTGCCTGCATGATATGCTCGATGTTGCTGGTGCTGTGCTGCAGCTTTTGGTCTTATATGACTGCGCGGAGTATCTTGAACAATCGCGAGAAGGATCACTGAGACGAATCAGTTTACTGTGTTGAATCAGGAGCAAGCAACCCGAAACGTGCTAACAAGGACATGACCGCAGGCCAAAAAGGCGGGATTAACAGGGGAAGCTGTAGGGGGCACCCTACATGAGTCCGCACTCAGGCAGCCAGAGCCTAGGAGTCATCAAGGAAAGACTTGAGATTGCTTGTCATGGCTACTTAGTAAAGGCGAGTGTGATCTGACAGTTGAGGATGTTCGACACATTTTTTGGGATGTACCATTCCGTGACGTGTTTTGCTATGTCCGTTCCTTCTCGGGTTTAGGGTTTAGCTCAAGGGTTCAGGCTTTGCACTCCCCGTTCGTTGCGGGTGAGTTTTCTGTTCAGGAACTCAACCCGCAGGTAGATTTCATGGCTGAGTGGATTTGGCGCACGCCATCAAGTGCTTTAGGAGGTTTGCCATTCTTTTGTCACTGTTTCCGATTTCTTTGAAGTTCAGGCCACACCCTCCCATTTCAGGATTGGTTGAAATCAGCAGGATTGACTTGTGTGCAGCCGCGTCTCAAGAGAACTCTTATTGCGATTGTCTGTCAATTTGTGACGTCTGGCGCCATGTGGCGCGTCCATTTGTCTATGGTGATGGCTGTTCATGCACTTCGTGACATGCAAGGCGACGCCGATCTTCGTGCAAAATCTGCGGCGGGTTTGCAGACTTCGGAAGTTTCCGGCGATGACGGCAGATGTCTGGCTAAGCCGGAACATGAAGGCAAAGTCCTGAGCGTGTGCGGCCGTTTCAAGGATCAAGGCCGTTGCAACATGGCATATGTCTGCCATTGGGTTCTTCCAACGGTGGTTCCCGGACATTGTGAGGGCAAAAGTTCACACCCCCACTACAAGATGCGTTGTGATGGCCTGAAGTATGACAAGTTCCTCTGCGAGTCTCAAACCTTGATTTGCATTTGGATCCCGGAAAGAAAGGTTTACGGCAATGCTGGGCCAAGTGCGCCATCCATCAGTTCCCCTGGGGGGGATGGCATGTGCAAGGTCAAACAT